TTGTCAAAATAATTAATTGTTTATTCCAGTTTTTTATTGGATACACTAACGTAGAGAAGCAATTATTTTCCCATACCCTCTCATCTCCCCCAAGGTTCAAAATATCAGCTCATCACTACTTTTCTAGATGCACTAAATACCAAAGCCCCATATGATATCCCAAATGACATTAGAAAAACAACATACCAGATAGTTTGTTCTGATGCAGGAATTCCATCTGAACCTTCTGTCCAGCACGCTGAGCCAAGAGATAAGGAGTGGAGTAGATTGGATCTCCGGTGGCGCACATAACATCTGCACCACTGAACACCAACTCCATGGTCTGCAGCACGTCAGACGAAACCACAGCTGCACACAGCGCCTGTTCGCATTAAGATTTAGAGATGAGAGGAATTGATTAAATACAGAGCTTCTGGAGGTATTGAGATTAGAATCTTCTCCATTGAAATGTTTCTTTAAAAGATGCAGAGCATACTAAACAGTTCAATGTGTAGACACAGTGATACAAGCCTAGCTCCAGATCAAAGCATCTAATCAAGAGTCTTACATTTTACAGTTGAAAACAATTACTTTCAACATTTTTCACATTCATTCACTGGTATGATAGAAAGTAGGTGGAATAGTCGGAATTTAAAAAGCTGTTAAAATGTGTATCAGCAAAAATCCTCACCCAGATAAGGTGCTTAAGAGTCAATAAAAAGTAAGCATAGCGTGTTGCTATCTAGGTGGAACATCCCTGTTTTAGTGTGCGAGTCTATGATAAAACACTGGGGTGATAGAGGGTGACGAGTCTATAAAGCGGCATCAGTTAAACCACATAATGTTTGGAATTGAACTCCCTTTTGCTGATCTCAAAAGAGAACTTAAAATATGATCAACCTTTAACACACCCCATGGGAATCATTAAAGCTCTGATCCCTGTAAAAGAAGCAATATAGCAAATAAGAACAATACAAATGGGCCATATTAACTATAATGAAACACACAATTCCAGAGAAGAGAAATATGGGAATAATGATGTGAAAAACAATGAAGGGAGCTACAGGAAAGCAGCAGACTAGGTTAAATGAGCAGAGGATGAAGTACAAACATAAGAGTGTGAGAAATATACACAGCAAGAAGCTAATAAACATAACAAGAAAAGTAAAGCAAGGACATTAGGTATGTATTCTTTATCAACCTCCATAAATATGTAATGCTGTCAAAAAAGGCATGAATTTGTACATTTGTAGCTCCATAAAAACTGAGAAATCAACCAAATGAGTTTCTACTTTAAATTACAAAGAGCCCTTTTTAGAAAGTGGCTAAATGTACATTCATCCAGCCATTTTCCACCACGCTTATACCAAGCGGAGTCGCAAGGGGTGCTGGTGCCCATCTCCAGCTGTCTACAGGCAAGAGGTCCCGCCCTGGACAGGTCGCCAGTCCATTACGGGAACAAACAGGACAAACAACCATTCACGCACACACTCACACCTAAGGAGAATTTAGAGAAGCCAATTAACCTAACAGCTATGTTTTTGGACTGTGGGAAGAAGCCAGAGTACCCGGAGAGAACCCAAGCACATTCCGGGAGAACATCCAAACTCCATGCAGAGAGACCACGGGCCAGGAATCAAACCCAGAACCATCTTGCTGCAAGGCAGCAGTGCTACTCACTGTTCCACTGAGCAGCCTGCTAAACTTACAAAAAAAAACTCACAATTTAAGCCTATTTTTTTTTCTTCTTTTTTTTTTTTCTTTTTTTATACAGAAATATCCTCATGGTACAGTGCTGATGTATGCCATTACACTCACAAATGTAAAAGTAGTTTTTGGTGATTAAGTTTTTTTTCTTACTGTAATAGACCAATAAAAAATTACTCCAAGCTGTAAAATGGAGGTTGGAGGACCTTGATACCATCAAGACCTGCATTACTCATTCAAACAAATGTGTAAATTTTGTTTATACTCCACGTAATAATTTGTCTGATGGTAAAATACTTATACCTGAGCAGCTATAACTTCACAGACATATACAGTTTTTACTGTATGTTCTCAACATTGAAGCCAGTGAATTTCAGAGTGGGTGTAATGTCTGGGAAAGTGTTCATGGTTTGTTAAAAAAAGAATTACCTTTTTCTCACAATGATTGAGCTTAGATTGGTAGATAAAAGGAGCAAAAGAATACAGTCTGATCCAGGGAGATATTTTCTACCTCCGTCTGTCTCTTTCTATTTGTGCAGTCAATTGATGTGACATTGTGCTCAATGACCTGTGACAAAGTAGATCAACAGAGGAGTCGAGAGGCAAATGGCGGAATTTCAACTAACAACTTTGCCTTTCATCGCAACTGTGGCCGGGCCATTGGGCTGAATCGATCTGCCACAAACAAGCAATATCCGTCTGAATGCTAGGGGGGACAGTAAGGCCATGCATATAGACGTGCAGACTAAAGTCCTCCATCAATAAGACCCGCCCACCCACGCACACGGGGGCCCTTTCTTGTAGATAAAGGTGTTCAAAGCACGCGGGTGTTCCAAACGCAGCTTCATTTATCTCAGTGCACTGCTTCTGCAAACACTGATTCATCTTCATCAGTAGGAAAACAACAAGCCAAATTAATTCTGTCTTTATCTCTTTTGCTCACACACAGGATGGTGTCGGATCTGGGCAAAGCAGTCCCATGCAGGCCGGCCTTATTCTGTATTGTCTCTGGAAATGACCTTCCGTGTCATAGCAATTACTGTAGCCACTAGAGACAGTGAGTGTGTGTGTGCACAGTGATATCAGAAGTTCCTCTGACACCCCGTCTCTAGGTCATGTGGTCCGCCGAGACTTTGTTGAGGTCAATGGGATAAGAGTGCATAACGGTGAACATGAGAATAAGAGAAAATAGGATAAAGAAAGGATGATTATAGCTGAAAGAATAAAAATAAAAAACATGGTTTGAGAGTATGTAAGCATGTTTTGAAGGTTACCTATAACTTGTTCAATTCCAAATACCATAACTAATCAAGAATCATAGTTCATCTTGTTCCAAAATGCATGTTTTTAATGTCAATTTAAATCATAGAGCTCACAGTGAACGTATGGTATAATCCTCCAGAGATCTTTACATATCCAACCTGGAAAAACACCTTGGTTCCTGGAAAAATCTTGGTTTTCGGATAGATAGAAGAATAAGGTTTTTAGATGGAAAGATTGGGAAGTATGTTTTTTCATACATTTTTCATACATTTTCTTTGTCCCTACAATCTAAAACAGATAATACACTAACATCAAATGATGCACTCACCCATGGTGTTTGCAACCATGCTTTTAACTCTCATGTATGAAATATTTTTTGCTAAGTTCCACAGCGAGCGGATCTTAAATCAGTGACTTTCTGTATTCTCTTTGGAATTCAGTGACCCTCAACGCTGATTTTTCTTTTTTTTTGTTTCTTCAGTTATTCTTTACTCATAAGAATATAACTGAAGATATTGTGGTGTGGTATTGTATTCATTTAACAGAAGAATCCCAGAGGAACAGGTTTTATATAGGATTTAGTGTTTTATATCCATGCTTGCAGTAAGTAAATGTGACACAGAAGTAGAGCAACTTGTCCAGTGAGATTAGGCTCAGTGTCCTTGTTTGTGGTGTATTTTCTTTCCTTTTTAGCCTAATTGCTAAGCTCCTTTTAAGATGAGTATATGAGTTTTTCTTTATTGTATTGCAAAGATATGCAAGAAGTATTCTGCCTGCAACCCATTTCTGGAGTGTTACCTTACTGCCTGCCCCAATCCCTATGTGCTTCATATTTACAGTCTTGACTAGTTCTCACTGTGTAATTGTATAATCCGGTAATATTAAATGAAAAATATCCTGTACACTAAAAAATATATAGAACCTAAAAAAGTCAGTACACCCCACGTTTTTGTACATAAATATATGCACATAACACAGGGGCGTCTGCCAAAGTAGCCTTTTTCTTTACCATATTGTAAATGATTTATCAGTAAAAAATCACCAAAAGCTGTACACAAGTCAAACTTAAGTGTGTAATAAATTAATAGATCTACATAAGAGACTATGTTATGAAACAGTCTAATGAAATTACTTAAAATTAGACAGATTAAGAAGGCAGTTAAGAGATGAACTGGTCAAGAGTTTCATTGAAATACAAGTATATTATAATTTTTTTGTAATGCAGCAAGTAGCAGTTCTCTACATACCAAAATAAATAGTATTTCAAGATGATGCAAAGGTAAATTTTGCACGAATGCCAATTAGTTATAACATTAAAAAAATTAATAAGAATAAGGAAGTTATCATCCAGAATTGTTGGAAAATGTTCCTTTAATAGGGTAGTGCGGTAAAGCATCTCTCCTTAATATTTTTTTCCTGCATTACTTTTACTTTTGTAGTTTAGGTAGTTTTACACTTTTACTTGAGTAGTAAGCTTAAGTTGATACTCTAACTTCTACAAAAAAGTTTTTAAAGATTTATACTTCTACTTGAGTAATAAACAATATACTTTTAACACCACTGTCTGGAGGTGGTGAATTACGTCCCCATGGCGACAACAAATTTCCAGGTATGGTCTAAATATTGGCTCTCTAATTCTTTTCTATATTTGTTTAAAACAAAACAAAGAAATTTGGTTCAGTTTAAACTTAACGTTGCAATTTTTGTTGCGATCATCAAATATGAACATTTGGATTGTAAAATAAGGATCAATTTTTAATATTGTTAATTTCTAGAAAGAAAATATAACCGCAATACGAAATAGCTTACATCAGAAAAATATCAAGTACTTTTAGGGAATATTGTAGGAGAATTAATATTTTCCAAGAGATTCTTTTCATTGTATTTGCTATATGACAGACACATTTTCCATTCTCCTGTACCACTCTTATATTATAGGGGCTGCTCATTCATTCTCTCATCATCTCATAAAAATTGCATTTGAACATATTGAAGACCAAAATTGAACTTACAAAAAAGGGGATAATGCAATAGAGCAAAGAGAAGAAGTATATTTGGTTTCTGCATACATTCATTTTTACTATCCACTGAACTTTAACAAATTGGGGTGGTGAAAAAGCAGATGGACTCACACACTTTCAGTACTTCTCTAACATATTCTTTAAGTTTGGCCCCCTCCTAACACACACAGCCACACACTGCGTTCTCAACAGGACTGACCCTGTGAAGCAGCCATACTCTCAGTTTGTGTCACACCTTCTCTCCCGCTCCACCCTGAAAGGAACTCCCTCAGGAACAGAAGATTCACACTACTGAAGTAGGGCAGCACACATGTTCACATACCCCCACATACACCCACCAACACACACACTGCCCAAAGACACATACACACACAAGAACAGAGTCCTGCAGAAAAAAAAAAAAAAAACCCAGCTAAACCAAACATTTCTGTTGCAGATTCTATTCGAAGTTCTTACAAACTCCTAGCAAGGGTAAAATACACTGTTCATTGAAATGTTTTAATGATCATACAGCATATGTCCAATCAGTATTTCTCCAAATGGGATAAATCTGGGTATTTTACTTTGTGATATAGAGATTTTGCTCTGTGTTTACCATAAGTCAGATGTGTGTTACTTTGCCTGCATATCTCTCTTTCTGTCTGACTCATGACATTGCCGCCGAATTGCAGTGGCGGTTTGACCAAAGAAGACCAGTGATCTCAGCCGGTTGCAGAGAGTAATTTAGTCTGATCTTGCATTTTTATTCAGCTATTAGTACCATGACATAATTGATCCATTTTTTCCCCCCTGCATATTTCATGCTAAATGTGTCCAGTTTCTTCTGGCCTACATGCAATACACTCCACCGGCCAGTATTTCCTAAAGCCTTAAATTTATCTATCAAAGCTAGGTTATTATAACCAACCTTAACTAAAGTGATAAAACAGGTAAATGGTAAAATGAAAGCCTTAAAAACAGGATCAACAAGGAGAATTATTTCAGGCAGTTTTATGACAAAACAAAGTGACATCCAGCATTTGCCATGTTTTCTATACATTAAACCATTATGTTTTCTTCCAGACATCTTGCAGGATATCATCTTGCTGTAAGAATGTGACCAACAGTACCCTACAGATTTATTTGCAGATATGTGGAAAGCTCTAAAATATTCCAAAATAATAGTTTAGGGTTAATCATTAGGTAGAGAAAATACCACCTTATTTTTGACATGTAATATTGGCCATTGTACACAAATCATTGTACTTTAACATTGCTTCTTTGACCATGTCTAATTGTGCACAGTCTATATTGTCCATACTCTAGAAGGAGAGAGGAAAAGTCTTTATTTTGAAGGGCACAATAATCAATGCCATAATATCATTTAAAATAAAACTGAAATAATGAAGTCAACTCACAATGGCAGGTTTTATTTTTAAGTGTAAATTGATAAGAAGAAAAGAATTAAACAAGAGCAAAAGAAAGTCAGTGAGGAACAGCATAAAGCAGCTGTAAGGGGGTTTGGTTTCTGCTCCATCCCAATGGAGTGCTTACCTGATTGAGCTCCTCAAGGTCATTAAAGTCTTCAAGGACCTTGCAGTACTTCCTCTCTCTGTACTTCCGCCGAACAAAAGAGGCACGCTGCTCGGCCGAGGCCCCACTGTGGAGTTCCTCCTCTAGGACTAGGTTAGCAGCCCAGAAACTGTTAGCATTCATGTTCCCCACTTCCAGGAAGAGCTACAAGATGCACAGGCAATATGTTTAGACGAGAAAAGCATCTCTTAGTTTGTGTAAAAACTAGACAATGAAATATATATTATAACTATCTGTTAAATGGCAGCTCTCTGAAAGGTACAGAATATGAATAAAGTTCTTTAAGTTAAGCCTTAAAGCAGGGAATGTAAATTAATTTTCAAACCTTTTCAACCAATAATACAACAGATGTGCATCGGAGCTTAAAATGTAAAGGGATTGAATAGGCAATACATAGGGCTTTTCTCCTGAGGGGTGTTATATTAGATATCAACACCTTTAAGCTAAATAACTGTTAAAAAACCTTTTTTGATTTCATTTCAGCATTGAGTTTTCTTGGGTTAATTATAGTCATCAAATATAGTGGAATAAGCTTGAGAAGTCCCCTAAAGGTTTCCTTCACATTTGCATTCTTTTCTATGTAGTTATGCAGGGAGGTTACAATCAATCAGAAAATCTATAGGGGTCCAAAAGATTTAATGTCATACCTTAACAGGGCAAAGAGAAGACCGTTATCAATATTTAGAATACAAATGAGCCTACATTACAGTGAGCATTGAGGCTAATAGTAATGCTGAAGGAGTTTTTATCAAGTACTTGGTTTTCATGTGAATCACTCCCCTACGTTGTCCATATACCAATTCCTGAGCCACATTGTCAGTCAGGCAGAGAAACAGCAATACATATGACAAATTAAAACTCAGGTCCCACTATAAAATGTGATTGTGCCAGCACCATCATGTCAGATAAACTATAATAGCATATTTTCCCCTAGTGGATTAACTCCTTTAGTTTTTACATGAAATCAAGTTTTTGTACATGCACACATCAAAATGAACATAAACAATAGCTTTAACAAGGAAAATAAAAAGTTTTGGAAAGGCCGGGTCAGAATCCAGAACTAAATTCAACAAAAAAGATGTAACAACCATCTAAAAAAGGTGTTGAAATTAAACCAAAAATTACTTTCAAATAAAGTTTTACTTTAGTATAACTTATTTTGCAGCCATCTATCATTACTTTGGGGAGTGCAAACTAATGAAAATGAGTTAATACAGCTATTTTCATACCTCTAATCTCACCCTCCCCCCTTTGTTCCCCAACCCCCAAAAAAGATGCCCTATTAACATTGAAAAAGTTTGGAGATATTTGACATAGCAACAGTTTTAAGTCTGGCTTTGTGCACTTGAAAGAGCTACTGTATAACAATGAAAAGTTTTCTAAATGGGTAAATAGTTTATTTACGTATTGACCAGTATAAAGCTTCATGTTCAAAATGTAGAAAAACATTTTAATACCTCTACAAGTTCATTGCTCCAAATGCTGCTGTCCAGCTTCAAGCTCCGTACTTTTGACAAACTTGGTCCAAGGGAGCGGTGCTGTCCTAATAGAAAGGTAACACACAACTATTAATGCAGACAAACTCATAAAACTGCTTTTTTCCTCCTCTTGAGATATGCATCAAAAATATTGTACTGCCAGGCTATACTTTAGCTCCTGAGAAGTTTTGATAAAATAAAAAAATGATGAGCATCATACATGCACAACAATCTGCTCAACGTGCACAAACAGGCTCCCGGTGATGGAATAAACATTAAACAGGCAGTTACAAGGCGGAGAAAACGGAGCATGACTGTGAGCTTATTCTCTCACTCACAACACAACATATTTAGTCCCCTCAGCTCCCTTAATTGGAAATGAAAGCAGAGAACGAGGTCCATTAATTGCTAATGAATCATGAGTAATTCATTGTGTTTGCTGGTCAGCCTGTTTATTTGGGTGAGCGAGGAACTTCTGGGGTTGCTAGTGGCCAAAGACGGAGCAAAGATGCATAATACATTACGCATGCCGTATGTGTGACTGTGAATTATTGTCCTGTGAGTAACGGCGGATAATTTTAGATTTAGATTTGGCATGATCTCATTACTGTCTGCTATTCAGAAGTGGAGCAGCTGTGAATGAAAATGAGGGCCTGTGAGCATTGACAGGACATCTTGACACAGTTCTGGATGGCGCAGACTGAAAAAGACCTTAAATTATTTGTCACTTTACAATTTTAGAAGAGAGGCTTTTTTGATAACCATCCTTCGCTCTTGGAACAGAAATATTCTATGAGATAGTGATAGTAATAACACAAAATGCTGAAACAAAAAGCATTTTGATTAAAATAAAAAAAGAAAAAACATAGAAAGTTATACTTATAACTTAGTCATTGAAACAAATCAGTAAAGAAAGACAATAGTGGATATTTTAATAGATACCCTCAGTAATAGTCTGATGTTATGAATCATTATCCGATGGAATGGTTTTTGTGGACATCACTGAGCCTTTAGTATGATTCTGGTAAAATATCAAGCATAAATAACAGCATAACTGGTAGAGGTTTGTTTAGCTATTTGGTTCCAGGATCCTAATGCTAGGCTGTCATAAGCCTTTAAATATAGACTTGATGTGTGCTTAGGATTGCAGTCATTTTTAAGACACTTTGTTTATTTCTATTGTAAACCAGATCTGTTACCGTCAGAGAAATGGAAATCATTTAAAACCCAGGAACCACCACATCTTATGGCAGCCATGAAATGGAAGATGCCAACAAGAATGAAACCCCTTTGTTACAAAACTAAAACTTATAGCTTGGCTGAAATCTTGAGCTAAGAGCGTTTTGGAGAGATGTCTCATGGTCACATATGGTCAAAAAGAAACACAGCTGTGCTGGAACGTTTGCATACCCTCCCATTAAAGAAAATGAGAACTTCACATTATTAATTCAAACCGTTCTAGACAAATTAAAGCATCTTGCTCATAATCAGTGAACCAACATACAGTACCTTACTTGTTGCAGATTTTCTTCTGTCTTTAAAGGAACAGTACCTTAAATTTTCAACCAACTGTGGAGCATGGTGGTGGTAGCTATGGAGAGCTGTTTCATTCAAAATAAAATAAAGAAATAAATACTTCTATTGATAAATTCTCAATAACTATTTAATTTATTCAAAGATGTATGAGTTACTACATTTATTTATTTCATTATTTATTTATCTCATGATGGGGAATTATTTTGTGACACTTTTATTTTGTAAAGCTACTTTATGTATTCAGTGACTTTTATTTTGTTAACAGTATTTTTATCCTTTTATTTCATGTTCTTATATTCAAATAAGGAGGAGAAGTTTTATCTGATGGGTGGCGCTGGTTAGGATAGGCGGAGTGCATCAACTTTGCAGAATCCTAAATACCGTACTTCATTCATGATGACCCATCAAATCTGAATATTCCCTCTTCCTGAGCTCTGATTGGTCCTGTCACTACCTGAACTGTAACAGAAGCATGATCCATACCATCAGGTAATTTGCACATGTGCAACTAGATAATCATCCAGGTCACTAGAAATAATGTAATTATGGTAATAAAAGTGCTTACTTATATCTTTAAATAACCAAAAATGTCTAGTATTGACCATAGTTTGGAAGGTGTTTAGGTGTTTCAATAGGGAAAAAGTTATTTCATTTTTTTTTTATGGAATAGACAACACTTACATTACGAATGGCCATCTAATACAATAATTTTGAAAATCATTGGGCTGTGCCATGAAATATATTGGAACTCTTACAATAGAAGTGCTTTAATGTCCATCAAAAAATGATGCTGGAAGCTTATTGATGCAAACACACAACGTGACTGAAGTAAGGAAAGCTGAGAAATATTTATACAAATAATATTAATGACGCATATAGATATTCAACTTTGGAGTTTAGACAAAATTAAGAGTTTTTAAATTTTGATGCACTGAAATTGACTAAATCATCTAATTTCTGAATATTTCAACTTAGATATCAGTTTTATTTGAGAAGTTTTTATTATAATTTATAAAATCTGGATTAATACTACAGCAAGTGACTGGGACATCTACTATTTGACAAATAAGATCTATTGAGTTATATCTTGTCACTTTAACCTGTGAAGGAGTGAAACCGTTTTACTCATGAAGCCTGCTGCAGTGCAACATCAATGCCCTAACCATCGGGCCATGCAACACCACATGGCCATTTTCACTTCTGTAAAGGTAATGAAGCTGAAAAAAGCCTGCACACGCCTTGGGGGTAAGCGGTAGGATCTCTCTGTATTGAAAGCAGAGTGTCGACATCTTCATCTTACCCCTGCTACCAAAGCAAAAAAAGGAAGACAGCCACCTCTATAACAGCTTTTACAGACAAAAATGGCCCAGCCAGCAAGGATTTCAATGCCGATCAAAAATATTGTAGTAATTGAAGCAAAATTTGATGGAACATTTTTCTAGTCTTTGACACGTAACTGGTATTTACTTTAGGGGCTAGGGGTATGTTAGCAAAAAAAAGTTATAATTTAAAACTTGACTTTTGGTTACAGCACTGATGTTTTTAAAGGGGCCCAATGAAGTACTAGAACTCTATATTAAAAAAAAAATAATAACTAGATGTATCTTCATCAAGAACAATCATCCTGATAGCATTTACGTAGTGTCCTTTATCCTGAAAATAAATTTAGCACTAGGTTGCATCAGAACGCAATGTTAAATAACTATCAACAGTGTCTTTCTACAGAACAAAGTCAGCAACGTTTTTAATTTCAAACACCAGTCACCTGTATCAATGACAAATGAAAGCAAAAGCTAAAAAATAAGTTTGGAGAAGAAGAGTTAAATAAATCATTTAAATAATATATTATAAATGGCTAATTTACTTGTCAACTTGCCCAATCAAAATAAATAAACTTACCACTGGAAGACGTGTGTCAGTTTAAGTATCATTAATAGTATGGTTGGAATAATTTATTAGTATTGGAGAGAATTTCAAGCCAATGCTATATTACTAATTTAGAAAGTTAAAAAATGGCAAGTATCGTATGAAATACACTATAAACCATTCCATCACTATAACTGCGAGGATAACATTGATATCACTAGTATCAGTACTAGCGAGGCTGTGCACTCAAACATCCATCAACTTGACAACAAAATCGAATGCTTCCACCACTTTAACACAACTTCATATTGTATTCTGATTCCTATTTATTTCTTATTCCTCTTGGCATTAAATTTATTTAGTTTTACCTTTCATACACATCATCTTGTTTTTTTTTTTTGTTTGTTTTTTTTTTTTACACGATTCCAATGGGAGTTGCTGATCAGCTCCAAAGCTTCCTTGTGCAATATTGAACCTCTAGTAACAGGGTCTTGTCATGGTGATTATACAAAAAATATCATGGTTTACCAACACATAGAGCCAAAGCAAAGTGTTAAATACAGAAATTAAATATATCAAGCCAAAATAATTAGTATGCAACGAGCATAGCTGCTGTCATGGAAATTTGAAAAGTCATGGTACAAGACAGGACCCCTTTAAAGATAAATGAAGCAATATTTAGCAAAAGGCAAACATAATTAGGTAGGAATTTTCTGATCTTTATCTTTAGAAATATCTGACTTGATTCCTAGAGTTGAATTAGTTTGTATTTTGCTTTATAAAATTAATTGAATAACTAATTCTATCTCCACGACTTCCTGAACCTTAGCCAGCTCATTTGTTTCCCCTCTTACATTACTGGAAAGACTAATTGATCCATTGTCGTCACGGTTACTGATGTTGGCTTCTTCTTTTTTTTTTTTTTTTTTTTACCAACATAGAGCCAGGGAGCTTTTTACATTTCCCCCTTTACATGAATCTGTAGGTTTCCCAGCAGATTTGTTGTCATTGCAGAAAGATGAGAGCTGTCTGAACTGCCAATACTGCACTCTTAATTACAGGTGTAAAAACTGCTTTAGTACTCTGACCCGTAAAGAAATCCACCAATTTGATTAAAGGTTTGTGTTTGATTTCAAAGGTTGCATCTTCGGAGGACCCAGTCTAGCTAGGTCTGTGAAAATAAGGAGGCCGGAAGAATTTTGGCTGTGGATTCAAACAGGTCCAGCCTTCTCCGGCATTCACCGCCCGTATGCTCTGTAACCTAGCAACCGTAGCAGTTGATACACAAGGCAGGCAAAGACTGGATGCAGAACTTCTCACTACTGTTCTGGATGCTAATAACATCATCCAGGAGCTTCAGCAGCATCGTCACAGATGTCACTTTGTTTCAGATTTGTAGTCCCCATGCTGCAGAGATATTACAATCTGTGCTTAAATGTCAGCCAAATCCATTTGCAAAGGGACAGATAAAAACCTTTCAATAAACCTAACATTACCTGCCACATAACTGACTCAATAACCATTTTAAACAACTATTTCTATTAATTTCAGATGGAACAATTCAGAAACTTGTATTATATTAAACTCCACTTACGATATTCACCACTGTTCGGAGTACAGTTTTCCTCTGAGCATGGAGGAGCCGGCTTGCTTGGACTCCCAATGAATCGCGGGATATTCAAGGCTACATAGGATATACCGGACCCATCCTTTAAAATGAGATAAAAGAAGGCAGCATTTTTTGGCCGCATGACGAGGAGTCTTCCAATCCAGCTCTCGGTGCCGCTCTATGAAGTAATCGGCCTACGAATCTGGCCTTCGTAGGACGCAGCCCCTGAATTTGAACTCAGCAATTAACTGGAAAACAGTACTGTTGTCCTTGTTTTTTGCAGGCAGAGGCATAGCCAAAAAATTGTTATAAGGGTGGCCAGGCAATAACCAATGTATACTGAGGGGTGGCCAAAAGTGGGTAGGCACCAGAACCTCAGGGTTAATCTACACCAGTGGTCTCCAACCCTGGTCCTCAAGATCTACTGTCCTACAGATTTT